TCTTCATGCCTAGACTATTCAGCATAGGCTTCTCCTTGAAGAACATATGGTGGGTTATAGGAAGCAATTCTTCTACCAAATCAGAGAAGAAAAAAAAACAGACCACAGGATTTGGACACTAAGACAGTAGTAGGTTCTTAAGGACTAATAAAGGTTGTAGAAACAATGCAGGGATACTAGGGGGCACCTCCACTGAATGGCAGTAGGTGTGTTTATTAAACATGGATAAAAAGAAATATTTTGTTATAGGGTAAAGAGAAAAAAGTTACATCAAAGTAGTTTCATCGAAACAACCAGTAGAGCATGTTCTTGAGGAAGGGTCACATTTACCTCTTGGCATTATAAATTGCAAGTGTTTTATTCAGAATACATCATATTTCTGTTTTAACTAATAAAATTTAATATTTTTTCATATTTAGAAGTAAGTCACAGTATTTTTACCAACATTGTTTTCTTCCTCCTAAGAAGGATACTTCATAATAGACACTGAAATGAACCATCAGGTCCTATGGTTTAGAATAATTTCACTGGTGAAATCGAAGAACATATTCTTTTGGGTACATTTAGTTAGGGATGATTACTAAGAGGTTATCTTCCTTAGTACTTAAGTTATTCTGTCTGCACTCTACCCTACAATAGTTATGTGAGTCCAGTGAAAATTGGAGAGCGGTTTAACTTCAGACTTACATCCTCAAACATGTATCACTGTGGGTGACCATACTGTGTATGATTATATTTCTGCAAGCTTCTCTCCTCTGCCAAGCCCACTTGGCATATATGTCATTTTCCTTATGTAAAAATACACATATAGTAATGTGGAAGTATTATGTAAATATGCACATGATATGAAATAAAGGAATGTGTGGGCAATAAGGATAAAAGTAACACCATTTCCTTTTTGTCCTTACAGTATTCATTACATAATTTTTAAATATTATCCATCATGCATTTCGTTTTTAGAATCAGCACAGATCAAAACATTCTGAATAGAAACAAAAAGAATCAGCATAGGCTCAGCGCCTGTAGCTGAAGCGGCTAAGGCGCCAGCCACATACACCAGAGCTGGCGGGTTCAAATCCAGC